GTAAGTTGTAGTTGCCATGCTCCAACTCGAATAGCCTCTCTTCTTCTCTGTCCAGCATTGTGGCAGCTTTAGTACTGTCTGGGTAGCGAAAAGGGATCCACGGTTGTTTATTGCTGAGTCTGGTGAATGCCTGTAGAGTACTCTCTCGCCCATTGTTATCCGGTAGTAGCTTCGCCAATTCACGGTATATCTCCTCTCTATTAAGTGCATCTGCCTCCCTGATTGCAGCTTCTGCCGCCAGATTGTCCAGTTGCTGATCCAGCTCGTTCTCATCTGGTTCCTCAGTTAAGGCATCAACTTCCACTGTGACATCTTGTTCCTCAGATTCGGCGGTTGTCCCGGTGGCTGGCTCATTGTCATTGGATTCGTCTTCACTGTATTCGGTATCTCCCACTGTAGGATTGGACACATCATGCACATCTTCCACAACTCTGTAGGAGAATCCGATGAATTCTGCTGGTCCATCACCATCCACCGTTGGAGCGCTTGTGCCTTTAAAAGGTAGGTCACCATCACTATAGCCCACCTTTTTCGCGAAAGAATTCAGGAGCAGCAAGCGCTCTGTTTCAACTGTACCATAATCCTCGTCACCACACCTGGTGATGGCTTTGCGATGATTTCTTTCTTCAAAGAACCCAGTCATTAACCGGTCAGCCTGATGTATTCCTAGGAACAGCGGTTACAGTGTTAGACAAAGCGTCAGTGGCCAAAAGAAGAAATCGGGACTGCTTACCAATACAGGTAGCCACCAAGATATTATATGCCAGATCGAGATTGTCCCTTTCATTGGTGTTAGTTCCACGGAGCACATAAGTGACACCTGTCACTGGATTGCGTCGGTGCACTCTGACAACAGTAGGATCGCTTAGACAGTCCTTGTCGATATAAGTAAAAAGCTGCTTGATGGTGTCACGAGTTGCTGTTCCAGGTTTAAAGAAGAGTTTTGGAGATGGTTGATCGTTGTTGTCAGCTGTTCGTGTCGCCAAAATGAGTTCGGTTTCAGCATCCTTGGCTCTCGCATACTTGATGACAGCTTCGACATTTTTCCTCAGGAGATCAGGAGCAGGAATGATAGCATTGGCTTCCTTCATCACTTCCTTGTGTGTCGCTTCCCGCCCTTTTTTGCCCTCCACGACGGCCTTGGCTCTATCGTATTCGGCTGGCTCTACATTGAATAAAGCGCGGCTGAGCAAACCTCGAAAGATTCCACCTTGGGCTGAGCTTGGATCGTTCAGGACAGGATTCCATCTCTTCATCCAATGAAAGGGATCAAGCTTGATGATGCCATCCTTAAAGATTCTTTTCAGGGTTCGGTGCACCTGGCAGCAGTTATCCACATAAAGCAGCTTCACTGATTCGAATGGTGGCAGTTCAGCTTCTAATATGCCCTCTGGAACACCTTGGGGGTACATTTCGTTGGCCTCTTTAATCCTTCGCTGCCTTTCCTTGGCAAGAGCATTCCGATTCAACCTTTCTCGAAGCCTTTCCAAGTCCGGCTCTATTTCAGTGAATGACTCACTGAATTTGAGTGCTTTCCAGAAGACCGTGAGCCCATCTTCGTTTTGGATTGTCACCAGACACCGGAATGGGCAGAAGCTCCGGCCTTGACCAGTCCAGACTCTGATCTTGGCAGCAAGCTTATAGTTGAAATCAATTTTGAGAACTTCAGCGGTGAGTCCTTTCATCTTGCTTTCCTGGAAGTCCTTCCGGTGTTGAAACACAGTGTTGACAATGCTGTTGATGCGATGCTTGCTGATGAATTTTCCATTGTATCCTTTTTTGTTCTTGAACTTGGAAAAAAGGGGTGGTCGATTGGTTGATCCTTCCTCATTATCTCCCTCCTGCTGCCCATTGTCATCGTCCTCCTCTGATGCGTGTTGACTCAGATAATCTGTCAGCGAATCCGTGGCGTCTGCTAGTTCGGCTTCAGCTAAGGCAAGTTGCTCTTCTAATTGCACTGCCCTTTCTTCATGCTTTGCGTAATAATCATGTACTTTGTTCTGCCATCCAGGAAGTAAGCGACGAAGTGGTTGTGGGAAGTCATCAGCGTCCACTGACTCCAGCTGTTTGGTTGAATTGATATCAGCAGCCATCAACTTGCGCAATTTTGTCCCACCCAAACCAGGCAGAAGGTTCTTGCTACCAAAGTGGTTTCGATTTTCCTTGTCCCCAAGCATGTGGCGGAACTCAATATCTCTGTTCACACAGCTACGAGCGTGTCCAGCGTCCAGTCTAAGTCGGGTGACTTTAGACACATTCTGGTTCTTGATGGATTGTAGCTGCTTCAACTGGGGGTCTTCTGTTGCCGGTTCAATGAATTCATCCAGTGTGCGCTGCTTCTTCTTCTTTGGCTTGAAGTTGATTTGGTCACCTCCCACTGCTGATAAATACAGTTCATAATCTGAGTAGTATGCGCGGTAGGCACTATGCTTCAGTCTTCTTGCGATTTCCGAGGTGCATTCGTTGGCTGCCGAGAGCACAATGTGACTGTACAGCTCCTCGTCCACTGCGTACCCTTCCCCAAGATAGAAATTGAAGAATGAATTGTAGACACTAGCATCTATCTGCATGCTCTTTTTGTTGTAGCCAGTGAAACGACGACCACACAGCGAACAAGGGTAGAGGACTGTGTCCAAGTATCTGTAGCGCTGCGCGCCAAAAAGGATAATGGGGTTGTTAACCCACCGGGCTTTCAAGACATTCACATATGAGTCTTTCTTGCAGTGCGGACATGACGGCACATGCCCTTTGAATAGTAAATGGGGCACCCAAACTGCCATCGGCCTGACATAAAAGGAATCAACAGTGGTCTTCTTCGCGTCGGTGTTCATCAGATTGCTGTTGAATCTCCCGCCATTAGGCATCACATTCCACCATTTTGTTGCTCTTAAAGAACTTCCGGTGATCATTGTCAATGGAGGCTCTGGTCCGCTTTATAAAATCGTGCTGCGCGTCGCTGTATGCTGTCGGTGGCTCCGTCATTGTTGATCAATCAATCTGAATCCGTCATTGTGTGGAGCTAGCAAGCTAGTAGTGGGTTTCGCGAATTTCCGTTGATCAAAACAAAGGGAGGGTTGGGGTTAGCGTGAGTTGGCCAAGGAAAGTTTGGTTTCGGTCACAAGACTGAAAGAAATTTTAGATCCCACAACCAACAATCAGAAAAAAAGTAGAGATAAAGTAAATCAAGACGCATTTCCCGGAAGGAGAGGGGGTGGTTAGACTTAAAGGGACTACATGGGAGATATAGAGGTACGGTCGGGATGCATGACTGGGGGGTCTGTCCTCCCCCCCTCCTTTTTTTCTTCTTCTTGTTCTGAACTGGTAATTGGCCGTACCCTCACAGGAGACGTAATTGTTTGATCACCCAGCAGGCTTATTTTGAACGGAGACACCATCCGTAAAAGGCTCGTACAGCTGTACCATGGTGGTGACAAAAGGTACTGTACCAGTACCACAAGCGACAAGAGACACTTACTTCAGCTGAGGTTATAAATTATAAAGGTTTCTGTCTGTTCTACTTGGAGTAACTCAGTACGTTCTACAGTCACAAAGTGACAATAAATCTTTGAAATAGGAACGAAGTCTGTGAAAGTGCTTACTAAGTAACACTGCTAACAAGGATTTAGTGTCAAATAGTTTTCAACCTAATTATTTTCGATGAATGTAGGTTTTAAGGAACTTTCCGTCTGATTTATCGCTCATGCTTCCTTGTGGCTTCAAATAAATAATGATTCTTCGTTTTAGCCTTGCATATTAGATACTACTAGCTAGTACATATATACATGTATGTATGATGCAAAGACTTTGACTACTGTTGGTGTTTGCTTCTGTGCATTCGTGGCAGAAACCATCAAGCAACTTCAGCACCAACTGTGAGTACACTGTATTATAGTTGTCAGCCCAATCCACCTTTCTGGATGGACAACTGCAGCACCTAGTAGCTTGTTTTATAATAATAAAGTACATGTAGAATACGGAATGAAAACGGTGTTCACATACACGAAGAGTATTGTAGTTGGTTGGTTGGTTGGTTAACTTGCCTCCGGTTGTGACAGGGTTGGATATCACGGGATGCCGAAAGCAACAGAGCCCATCCATTGCCTTGCCGCCACCCCTACCATAGGACGGGCTACAGTACTACGGTACTGATTGGGGATTATGCAACGCTAAATAAATGAGCTAGGGTTGGAGCTACTACCAGTACACTACGGTGAGGATGACGAGGAGTGCTCTGTGTCGTGCTGGGGTTGGGTTCACCATCGGATACGAAAGGTGGAGCCTGTGCCGTTTCGCAAAGCTGGAGGATGGGTCTGCATGGATGTAATGTGTTGTGCGATGTGTGGTAGTGTACCGGTATGTTGTGGAAGCCAAATCCTAAAGTTTTGTACAGTACTGTAGTAATGTTCTTCTGATCAGGGCCTGACTGTTAATTTTGTTAGTATGTACAGCTGATGCACACTTCCATTTTACAAATCTATGTCCCATTGACCAAATAAATCAGCATTAACATAATGCCCTCTTGCAAGCTGTTTTGGTCATCTTGAGAATGAAAGTTCGCATTGTGTCAACTAGCTAGGCACACATGCAAGTAGTCTTTACTAAGTCCTCTTCCCAGGTTGAGTGCAATGTCCCCGAGTAACAGCAGCGCCAGTCCTGAAGCCCGGTAACAGAGAGCCAAAACCACAGCAGCAGCAGCAGCAGCAAGGCTGTACAGTAAAGGTACACACTTTAATATTAGTAGCACTCAACACTCCAGAACCATATCATTCCCCCTTTTGCAGTTAGTTGTTGGTCAGCATCCACACTCCACACCAAGCCTCTGAAGCCACCTCTTTAGACTTAGGCTTACTAGTATTAATAGTTAGGCAAGGAGCTAAGGAGCAAAAAGCATCTAGCTAACTAGCTAGCCAGCAAGTGGCTTCAAGAGGCACAAGCCACTGTCCATCCTCCCAGCCCATCTGAACAGTGACTGACTACTAAGAGTTGTTGAAGAAGAAGACATGTGGAGATGGTGGCGTGATAAGCTGTGGGAGTACAGCAATGTTCCTGCCAAGAAGTGTTTCCTGATGAATCCCAACCTCTCATTACAGAGACAAGTTAAGACTAGCTTTGGTCTGTTGGCCATCTTTGGAGTGGTCTCGGTCATGATCTTTGCCATTACCACCACCATTTATGCAGGACGATCGGTACAAGAGCATGCTCAAAAGATCATGCGGGATCAGGTCCTTATCAATATACGACAATCGTCCCATATGGCCGCCAAAACGCTCTCGGAAGAATTCGATCACTTACGAGGCACTACGTCCATTCTAGCGGAATTGGTACGAGACCGAATTGTGGGATATCCCAACGATGGATGGGAAGATGATCTCCATGTCCCATTTCCAGTACAACAACAAGACAGCAATGACAACAACAACAACAACAACAACAACAACAACCCCCAACAAAGAGCAAACCAATACCCACTCAAATCGCCACTCTTACCCCGAGACTGGAACATCACTCGAAACCTAAACGCTACAAACCTCCTAGAGCATCTACAGGAACGGGCTTACTGGGTATTGGACAGAAGAGGAGAGAAACCTCCACAACAGCCACAATCACACAATCAACAACAGCAACACTTGATGTCTCTAGCGACTACCAGTTCCGTCTTTTCCTTTCAGGGGAACTGTGACCCTTCTGTCTACAGTCCCGCAGACCCGGCCTACTATCCACGCTGCACGGATGCCAACAACAATGCCAGTACAGGAGGAGTCGTCTTTCCCACCACTACAGCCGCTGGA